AGACAGGCCTGGACATTTCTTTTCTAGTACATTGTATATATTAATTCGATTTACCTAATGGTAATAGGGTATTCAGATCATCTATTAGTATTTCTTTCCCTTTTTGGTAACTTAATTTTTATTTATTTATCTTTTTAGGCTTTTGCCATAAGGCACATGTGCTCACTGGAGAGAAAAAGACAGAGAGAAAGTGAGAAATCATTGCCTAGGGGGATGGCCACATAGCAATCCCTTCTCCTCTATTCTCTTCCTGGGGGGTTAGCATGCACACACATGCACCAAGAGTGATTTTCAAGGCACTAGGCCCAGGGCAGGAACCATGGTTGGCCATATGGAAATCCAGAGCCTTAGCCACTAAGCCACCTGCTGGCCTTTTAATGAGTAGGTTGTTACAGTGTATACATATCATGGAATTGGTCTACTTCATGCCAGCTATAAAAATCGTATGTGTCAATTGTTTGTGGTATTCCATGACCTATTTGCTATCTGCAGGGCCTTTCACGGTATATCCAGACTTCTCCTGTTATGAGCGATTTCAATCTTTTCCTTTCCATTAATGGAAAGGTTGGTCAATATCATTCATGTTTTCAAAGGACTAGCTCTTTTTTTAACTTCATTTTTTCTATTATTTCTCTCTTTTCAATGTCACTGGCTTCTGCTTATACAAGTTCATATTTTTATTTTATATACTTATTTATTTCTTCTATAAGACAGAAAGACTTAGAGTGAGGGGGTGGGGTAACTACAATACGGTCTTCATGCCACGATCCACCACATCACTCTCCACCTTTTGTCTCAGATTACAGGCATACACACAAGAGCTGGAGTGCTCAGGGAGGTCCCGGGACACAAACTCAGGACTTTTCCCATATAGGTCCTATTGTGCTCTCACTGAGCCACCACTTGACCCCAACTTCTGCTTGTATAATACCTCCTTTCTTCTGCTAACCTCAGGTTTATTCTGTTTTTTCTTGTTTCTGCTATAAGAGTGTAAACTATTAATTTCAGACTTTTTCTTCTTTCCCACTGGATATTTTTACCATTATGAATTTTCCTCTCAGTGCTACTTAACTTAGAACAACATTTTGATGTTCTATTTTCATTTTCAATCAGTTTGACATGGTTTTGATTTCTCTTAAGAGTTCCTCTTTGACCCATAGATTATTGACAGGCTGTTAGCATCCAGGCATACAAGATTTCCCACTGCCCTTCTGTGATCCAGTTCAAATTTGATTCCATTCTGATTGGAGCACATGCTGCAAATGCTTCTTCTTTTTTCTTTTTTTCAAGAGGGATTTTTGCTATAGGGCACATGCATTCACCAAGAGACAGAAAGCGAGAAATCAACCCCCGGGAGGATGGCCATGCCACAATCCCCTCTCCTCCAGTCACCTCTCGGGATTTTGGGCACATGCACGTGCACCCCGTGTGAGTTTTACGTCACCAGGTTTGAGATTTGAACCATGGTTGACTACATGGGAGTCCAGTGATGTAACCGTTATGCCATCTGGTGGTCCAGGTTTCACTTCTTTTTAACCCACTGAAGTTTGTCTGGCTGCTCAAGATGTAGCCCACCCAGACCCCTGGGCCCCAAAGTCACTTCCTAGTCAGACTCCTGTTACCTTTTGGAGTTTGTTTATATTTGTCATATGTGAAGGCACTTAAAAATTTTGTAGAATTATTTTGATGTGAAAAATGTAAAACCCACACATACCGTTTTCATAATACACATTTCTGAAGACCCCTCTTCTATGCTGCCTGGGTTTTTAGCTATAGGTACAGCGGGAGGAATGGGAACAGTCTAATCCGCCCTCCAGAAGTGATACCTTTCCTCAGTGGTATTTTGAAGCAAATGACCTCACTCACATGATGGTGGTATCTAACTCCAGATGACACGCAGCCAGATACCATGGCAGAGGCTAACAGGAACTACTTTAAAACTGCACGGCAGTCATGCGTGGATGGAGCATGCTATTTCTACAGTTGTAGATGAGGAGATAGAAGTTCGTAAGACTCACCTAAGTCTACAAGTCACACAATTATCCCATGACCCTGAAACTTCCCATGTGGTTTCTGAGTTGGGACATCACCTGACATCCCACTGGATGAGAAAATGAGAAACGAGCCATGCAGAGCCTCTCAGTGGCTGAGGAGTCCAGCTGGCTGGTCTGCAATGCTGGTTTTGCCATTTGCCAGCCAAATGGCTCAGGTGATTCACTTAACTTCTCTACATCAGTTTCCTCGTCAGTAAAATAAGAACAGTAAGGACGACCACAATCCTGTGACTGCAAAATGGAAGGACACTGTTCTGGAAAGCAGGGCACATGTTCCATGCACATGAGTTAACCCGTTAGTGCTGGACCCTGGCAGGAATCCAATGACTCAACTTGGCTGACCTTCATGGAAAGAATGGGCTCTCCTAGCTAGAACATATCTGTGCTGTCTGGACAAAAGCATTCATTGAGTCAGTGCCCCAGCCTCTGCTCCTGTGGACAAGGTGAGGCAGACCTCCACCGCAGCCTACTAAAAAGGCCACCTACAGGGCTCTTACCTACGCTCTTAACATGCTTGTATCTATAAAAACTGCTTCCCCCATGTGGACATTCACACACGAAGGTACCTAAGACATGCTGGCTACACTGAAATCTAACACCCAGTTTGCAGGGCCCCACCTGTACCCACAGGAGCAGCACTCGCCACCAGCAGGATCCAGCAGCTTGCCTCCAGCTAGGACAAACAAGCAGGCATAAATCCTCCAGACAATCATGCTCCCCAATGTGCATGCCATCCTCCCCAGGCTCCATGAGTCTCTCTCAAGTTTAGAAGAGGCTCATTATCTTCAAGATGCTCAATACAGCAACCCTGGAGGCCTACATCCTGGGCCGTGAGTGAATCTGAAAGCGTTCCTAGTGCAGGTGCACCTCCTTCTACTATACTTCACTTTCCTATGCTTTGCAGCCCTCGTGTGCTTGACAGAATCTGAGGTGCCCAAAAGGTAAACCCTTCTGTGCCAGTTAGCCAAGTTGTGGGGACAAAGGAAGTCGTGAAGGAAAGTAACAGCGCTACTGCCATGAGGATATGAAAGACAGAGAGCAGAACAGCCTCACTGCTGATGTGAAGGCTTCAGTGGTCTGAACAGCAGATCAGATAGAAGAGATGTCCATGATTTTGTTGAGACACATGCTGGTGCATTTAAGAGACTACCATACAGTGCAAACATGATTTTTATAAGCCCTGAGAAACAAAACATTTGCATGGCTTGCTTTTGCAACATTCGCTTTATTGCAGTGCTCTGGAACCAAACCTGCATTCTCCTGCCTTGAACTTATTACCATAATTTACTTTTTCTGCTCATCATCTATGTGTTTCAAATTAACCCAGTTTTCATATTAAGATGATGAAAATCCACGCCAGAGGTCCAGTTTTAGTCCAAGTCCATTAAACATGTTCAAGTTAGGAGTCCAGATGGCCGACTCAATGAGAACGGGGCTGTCAGATATCCCTCTATTTGTTTTCATTTAAACTATAAAAATACAGAAGGACATATGAACAGCTACAGATGCCTGCATCGGCCATACTGCCGTATACTGGAGTGCCCACAGTTCCCATGCAATGCTCACGAGCATGCTAACAGAAATGCAGCCACTCTGTGTGCATTTCTTATCTTATATCTCAATCGCACCTGCTGAGACACAGGAGTGGTTTAACCACTATACGGTGTATATGAAGAGAAACATTTATGGTTCTGAAGCCACATTGCAAACTTTAGGAGGAAGACGGCTTCTATTAAATGATTCACTGACTTTGTTTGCCCTGGAGAAAGAGAGAAGATGAAGTGAACTGCCATTACTGGGGCCCCTCCTGGACAAATACAGCAACCCTGGAGGCGTACATCCTGGGCCGTGAGACATGCATAGTTAGTGGAAAGAACCCAAAATCACAAGGAAGAGGGACTTTTTTTTTTCTTTGAGAGGTTTTTGCTATAGGGTGCGTGCACTCGCCAGAAAGAGAGACAGAAAGCGAGAAATCACCTCCCGGGGGGATGGCCACACCACAATCCCTTCTCCTCCATTCTCCTCTCAGGATCTTGGGCATGCACACACACGCCCAGCGAGAGTCTAAGCCACCAGGTCTGGGACTCGAACCGCAGTCGACTATGTGGAAGATCAGTGACATAGCCATTACGCTAACCGCTGGTCCCAGAAGAGCAACTTTTAATGATGTGGCTCTAGGTGTTCCCTCTCTCCACCTCCCTAAGCTCAGCCCATCCTAGACTCCATAGGCAAGCAGAAAGGATTCCAAAAAGTTTGTGGCAAAATGGAATTAAAGTAAGAATTAATTTGGTGTAAATTCCAGGCAGTTCTTTCATAATACACACTTTCCTTGAGTGTTTGGAAGAGAACATCTTCCATAAAAATTGTGTTTAGTGACCTACGTCAACACCTACCCCACTAATGCTCCCTCCCAGGGCCACTGGGCAGGTGGACACAATGCCAAGTGTAGAAAGTGGCCTGAGCTCCTTGGGGGCAGGGGGAGAAGTCAAGACAATGACCAGAAATGGGCAGACAACAGGAGCCATGATGTGGGGTGGTCGCTGGGACAACAGGCCATGGTTGCCCCTGAACACGAGGCACACAGCTTGTTCTCAGCTGTGACCCACATTCTCAGTGAAAAGGAACACTCTCTCTGGTGTCATCCTCTAAACTGTACACTGGCCACAGGAGTTCAGGGGCACGACTGCCTGGCCCATGACTGTGCGTGGCTGTGGACACATAGAAGCATTGAACCAACGCTCCCAACAAGATGCAGCAATTCCATGCCCAGCTGCTACCTGCACCTGGTGCACTTACAGCACCACCTCTGCAACGCCCCTGGCAAGATCTGTCCTCACTCAAGGCTTCCGAGAAGTGACAGAAACAGAAATATTTCTGCATAAGGTTCCAGACACCATGCAAAGGCACAGGACAGCCTGAGCCCCTTAACACACATGGGCTTCTTACCATGTCCTCCTTTGTGCAGGCTGGTGGGGCTGCCCATCTGGGACTCGGGCGGGCTGAACGGAGGGTATCGCGGGGGTGTCTTCACTAGAAAAGAAAGCATAGCACAGGGCTATTGTCGCCACCCTCCTGTGGCATGGAGAAGCGCACAGTGAGCTCAATGCTTTCTTACCATACGATGTTTCTGGAGACACGGGAAATGCTGGAGTCAGACACAGGGCCTCCTTGCTACTTAAAATCCTGCCGTCGATCATATCAAGGTCTGGAGCATAGGTGGCGATCATTGTCTGAAATTGGCATGAGAAGGACACTGTAAAAATGGAGAGTCCAGTAAAGGCCCCTCTGAAGAGCTGCAGCTGCCCCAGGCCAGCCATTGTCCCACGGTGGGGACTAGGCCCATGCTCATAGCAAGAAGCCAGCCTGCTCTCCCTCCTTGAAAATGGGAAATGATTTCACCTTCAACAGCAAAGGAAGAGGGGGGATCCGTGGCCCATCTTTTAACACATCATCCAGCTAAGAAATCATGCTGGCAGGGCCGCCCCATAGTGCAATGGTTAAATCCTGTGCACTGGGAGCTGGATCCCACATGACCGACTGTGGTTTGAATCCCAACCTGGCAGTGTGAAAAACATGCCTGGCACGTGTGCATGCAGGCACAAAACCTTAATGGGAAGAAGGAATGGAGGAAAAGGTATTACAGAGGGACTACACCACACTGTGAAGTGTCTCTCCCTGCCCCCAACTCTGCTAAGCATACACACCCTCCAGTAATTTTTTTTTAAAAGAGGAAATGAAGCTGACAGCATCTATAACAGCACAGGTATAGAGTTCACAGCACTGGGTGAAAAAAGCAAAATAAGATACTCCTTAACTGTTACACAGTCACAGATTTATAAAAATACATAACAAATTGGGGCCAACAGGTGGTATAGCGGTTATGTGGCTGGACTCCCACATGGCCAACTGCGGTTCAAGTTCCAGACCCAATGGCTTAAAAATCACACCAGACACATGTATGTGTGTGTGTGTGTGTGTGCGCACACACCCAAGACCCCAGGAAGAGGATGGAAGAAAAAGGATTGTGGCATGGCCATCTCCTCTGGGGGAAGATTTCTCACTTTCCCTTGTCTCTCTGGCAAGTACACGCGCCCTATGGCAAAAATCTCTAAAATCAAATTAATTATATAGACTACAGGAAGGACTGGGAGAAAATATTCCAAATTTAATACTGATTTCATCTGTGAGTTAAGAGTATGAATGATTTTTTTTTTCTCATCTATGACAGGTTGCAATTTTAGAATAAGTAATCCCATATTGAAAAGGGTAATCACTCTCCGTATGCCAAGCACCTTACTGATGAGGGAAGGAGGACCTGGCTTCAGTTCCCTCCAGCAAGGGCCCGGATGGAGGGCCTGGGAGATGTATGGGGGCCAGGAAGGAGGTCCGTGTCTGCCCCTGATCGTGCTATCCATCTCCTGTGCTGTCACCTCACTGCCACCTGGTCGTGCTATCCATCTCCTGCGCTGTCACCTCATGTCCCATCGCAGAGGACTCGTGTGTGAGACTGGGAGCGAGAGATGAGGGAGGAACCAGGCCGTCATTGCCCACTTGCCCTGAGCCTTAGGGCAGGAAAGCCAGTGGGGAGGGTCTGCAGGCTGGGACAGGCTGGAAACATACCTCTTTAACGTCTGCTGGAGAAGAGAAAGGCGCCAGGCCCGGAGCTTGGTCTCCCCCAGCCTTTCCCCATCCACACTTGGAGAAGGACAGTTGCCCCCCACCATCATTGTCATACTGCCCAAGGCTCAGCTTCCGGAGTCTTCCGCCCAGTGGCTCGTCACCTGGGGAGCCTATCAGGAGAGAGACACATGGGTTCAGGGTACTTTTGTCCCAGCGAAGCTGGAGACCCTTCGTGAAAATCTGATTTTAAAGCATTCCATATTCTGCTATTGGTCGCCATGGTCACTGTTGCTCAGGGTGACAGAAGGCTGCTTTGTGGTGAGAAGCCTCTTGGCCTCTCTTGCACCCAGAGACTGAAGGAGCTCAGGAGAAAGTAGAGGAAAGAGACGCAAACCCAGCTCCCTCCGAGCCTGGCCCACCTCCTCCTGCTGCCTTGCCTCCCTCCCCACAGCTGCTTCTGCAGGTGAGGTGCGGGGAGCTATAGGAGGACCAGGGACCGGGAGTCCCTCGTGTGCCCCTCGCCTGCTGTAGGGCATCCTCTTTCCTTCATGGGTAAAAGGGGCATGAAGCTTACTCTCTTTTCTCCCCAGACAGGAGCGAAGAGGAAATGAAGTGGAATGCACATCTGAGAGGCCTCTTCATGCAACGGCCTTCCTGGCACCTCCACTGAGGTCCAATGTCTGACCAGCCGCCCCCCATCCCTGGCCAGTCCTGGTGGGCACTTGGTATCTTCACACTGGCCTCCTCTGCACCAACACTGGACGGTATCACTCGGGGCCTCAGGATCCAGCTGACCCCCAGCTATAAAAAGGACACATGATCCAGGCAACCCCCACTGCCACTCCTGAAAACGAGCTCATCTCCTCACTAAGGCATTTTCCAGGTGGGACAGGGGTCAAGGGCGAGGACAGGAACGTGCTGAGCACTGTAGCAGCAGGCCCATGGGTGCCACACGGGGCCACACGGCAAGCCTGTAGGACTTGGGTCCACCATGGGGCACAGGAGGACGCCTAGCCTCAGACACAGGATAGAGCTGGTTGTTCAAGCCATGCTTAGGTTGGGCCGAGGGTTCTGGGGCCACAGCTGTGTTCTGGGGCTGGGATGGTATTGGAGCAGGTCAAAAGGTGGTCTCAGGCCTGGTCATACCCATGGCCACCTTGGCAGGGTTGGATGAGAGTCAGGACTGGGCTCAGAGGGAAGAGAGAAGAGCTGGTCCTTTCTGGGGTCTAAGGCCTGTAGAAAGAAGATGCCTGCCCACGCTGCCTGGGAGAAGTGGGGCCCTTGGCCAGGACTGCTAGGTACTGGGCTGAGCACTTCCACACAGATCGGGGTGCAGTCAAGGCTGTGGCCAGAGACTCCTGAGAGATGGCAGGCCAAAGAGCCATTGAACTGCTGAGCTAGAAAACTGTGGTTTCTAAACCTAGCCACGAAGCTCTGGAGAAACCCCACACCTTGTTTGGAAGCCGCCAACCTCCCAGTTTCAAAAGCTGAGCAAGGGTAGCGGTAGCAGCACACCCTAACTGTCAATGCACGTGTACTCATGTTGCCATGGACACGCTCCGGGCTTGACTCGCGACCTGTGCAAGCACACAGCGATCCCTGGCCCCCACATGCACTGGGAGGCAGGAAGAAGGAGGGGAAGGAGACCTCTGTATGTCCGGGTGCCCTGCTGCCCACCCAGACGTGTCTGGTCACCAGGTCCTCCCCACCACATTCCCATGGCCTACTCTGTGCTGGCGAAATCAAGCCACCACCTCCTGGGGTTGGCTGCCTCTGATAACTGATCTGTGACTGCTTGCTATGCTCAAAATTCTACAGCAGGGCCACCGAGTTTGGTCCCTGAGGAAATATCCCAGAGAATGTTCCAGTCTCAACAAGCCACAGGCCAGCTCTCCTAGAGACTGGGACACAGGCCCAAGGGAAGAGCCACAAACATAAAATACGGTTTTGTTTTTTACTTTTATTATTTATTATTATTATTATTATTAATATAAGGTCAGAGGGCATATAAGCTCCTCAGAGAGAGAGAGACAAGAATGAGAAAGCACTCCACCAACGGGGAGTGGCCATGCCACGATCCTTTCTCCTCTATTTGTCCCTCCTGTCAGAACTTGGGGCACGCACACACATGCACACATGTACCTGGCATGATTCTCAAGCTGCTGTGGCCCAACTCGAACCATGGTCTGCCACGTGGGACCTGGCTCCTCATGTTCTACAGGGCTGGCCCATACAGTGGTTTTCAAAACTGTTCAATGTCGTCGCACTGAAACGCTGACGCCTAGGCCTCCTCACCTGACCCATGAAACTGGCGCTGCTGAGGGTGAGACCCAGTTGCGTGCATTTCACACAACTCCCAAATATTTCCAACACGCAGCCCAGTTCGAGAACCATGACTCATCCTGCCCTGGACTCATACTAGAGTTACTTAGGGGGCATTTAAATGAATGCTACCTCCAGGTCACCGAGCAGGCTATTTCAATCGCCACCCTCTGCAGGAAGCGGCAGTCATTAGCATTTTCAGCATCTGCAGTTTTTATCTACTTATTTTTTTAATTGCCAGAGGGTGCATGTGCTCTCCAGAAAGAAAAACAGAGAGAGAGAAACAAAAAGCACCCCTTGATAGGCCATGGTCACATTCCTCCATTTCTCCGTTCTATTAGGGTATTGGGCACCCACAGGAGTCCAGCATGTTTTCTTCAAAACAGCAGATTTCAAAGCTCAGGGCGTACCTTGAAATCTGAGAAATGTAAGCTGAACACCACATGCGCTGGTCCCCTGCACCCAGAGAATAGGGTGAGAGCCACGCAGGGGGAGACCCTACCCTGGCCTGGAGGGCCCCAACAACAGGGTTTCAGTGCCAAGTATTTGTTCTATTTGAATTTGGGTTTTCTGCATCACCTCTCTCCCATTACGTGCTCTTGCTTCCTACCCCAACACATATGCACTTCACCTGTCGGGGTTTGCTCTTGCTTCCTACCCCAACACACATGCACTTCACCTGTCGGGGTTGGGGCATGGACCACAAGTCTCTCGGGAAGGGGACACGGCCAACTTCAGGGCCAAAGAGGGCTGCAAACATGGGTGTGGCTGGGGTACATGGGCAGCCAGGACACCGGTGACTCCGGGAGAAGACGGCAGTGATTTCCAGCATGTGCTGCACGGGCAGCCTGGCTGCACGGAGAGGGCACATCTGCTCGCCAAGCACATGACCTGTCAGGCCGCACCAGGCTACAAGGCAGGGGTCATACGGCACAATCAGAAGTGAAACCGCTGCTCTGTGTCAGACTATGGAGCTGTCCAACCTTTCCAGTCTGACAAAAACCGGAACTGGTGGCCATTCTCCTGGGCCATCACAGTCTTCCTCCTGGGACACACGTCCACCAGGGTCCCAGACAGATGGACCTGCCTCCACCACAGCTGAAGCACAGCCCCCAGGACTTGCCACAGTGACCTCTGAGGGCAGTTCCTCCACAAGTCAGTCACCATGGGACCCAACAACTCCACTCCCAGTACTCCGAAGAACTCAACACAGGTGTTCAAAACATGGACACCCATGTCCACAGTGTCACTATTCACTAAAGCCACCGGTGGAAGTGACCCAAGTCTCCATCCACAGGTGAATGCACAGACAAACCATGGGTGTCTGCATTTGGGTCAGCACCCCCTACAGACAGTAACGACGCT